TGCTGTTATTGGTCTGTGGCTTCTAGCCAGTGCTCTGCACAGACACTTGCTCTGTGTATCTATTTTAACCCTGTGACTTTTAAGTATTATTTATTTCCTGGGAGGTTGCTCTGAACTTTTCATGAAGTCTGTAATAATTTATTGCTGATCTGCAATAGTGTATCTACAGTGTGAATAAAAGTGAATATCACAACATGAAAATTAGAAAATTCCTTTTGAGGAGCAGAAATAACCAGACTATAAATTACAGTAAAAAGATCATCAAAAGAAAGAGTTTATTTCAGTTCTAAAGGAGCCTTATTGGTACCCAAGGTACAGGTGAAAAGATATGCTTTTTATTCTTCAATGAAACAGTTTTCAATGCATTTTATAAAGGCAGATGACATTGTACATTTTACATTAAAAAGCAAAAATGCCTTACATGGCATAAACTGTATCTGTACTCAGATTAAAACCTTGTCAGTTGCATAGCTAGCACTCCACAGTGACCTCAAGGCAGCCTTTATTAAATGTTAGTTTCCTTGTGGTCAAAGAACACTAGCTGATTTCCTTTTGAACTCGGCTCTCAGACAACTAACAAGACAAACTTTATGACACCTACAGTAATACCAGTTTAGCATTTGTGCAAGACAATTATTAAAACAATCTAATATGATTTAAGTAATGCACGGATACATTTGAAATCCTTCAATTTCTTGGTTGTCCTTTGGAACACAAAAGAGAGAACACAGAAGAGTAATACACGGTTAACTAAGAAAACGTAAGATAATTTATTACCTACTACCTTTATTTTAATAGCTCAGTTTTGGAAGTCTTACTGGAGACACAGCTTAGAGAAATTAATAAAAAGAAAAAAGTTTTGTAGTACTACTTCTTTCTAACCATTAGAATTACAGTACGTCCCTAAATACCTTCTTAATAATAAACTTTAAGCAGTCATTTTCATTAAGTTCAGCAATTTTGATTCATTTCTGAATTTCACCCTTAGGTCTGTATTATTATTCATGTTTCGCATGACCCCCTATTTATTACCATGGGCCCTTCCCTCTCTCTGCTCACAGCTGACAGAGTTCAGCACGGCTGGATTAATGTCTTCAAAGACTGGAAATATGTCACAATGTCTGACATGTCTGAAAAAGAAAGACGCCAGATAAGGTCTGCTGCTCCCCCATGTGTCTTGGGCAAAGGGTTCATGTCTGAGAGCCTACTGGGAGGTGGAGGGGGCATCTGCAGATAAACTCCCGAGAGTGATACAAGGGCTGTGGAAATGAGGAAAGGGAAGTAGATTCATCAGTGCCTCTACTAAGACCTACATCACATTACCTTTGACTCTTTATTCCAAGAGAGTGATAGTCTACGTAAACTCTAAAGTTTACGGAACAGGGACAGCAGCTGCTGTTTTTCCGACACTAGAGTTTCAGGACCACGTTCACAGAAAGAAACTATGTCTGGTCTACTGCTCCCCCAGAGTTCTTGAGCACAGAGGGGTTCATCTTCAGGAGACCCTACTGGGGGGGTGGAGGTGGGAGATAATCAGTATGGAAACTACCATAGGTAGATGTACCTGCAGAAAGATGACATCATGCAATTAACATGGAAAACCAAAAGTGAATTACTGTACATAGCATAAAGATACAGCCAGTTTTAAATTTTCTTGTCAAAAATACCACTCCACGGTCGTCAGGTCGGGCAGATAGGGTAAATGGATCCTGTGCAGGACTCAGGAGAGAGAAACACCAAGCCGAATCGCTAAGCAAAAACGAGTACCAGGAAGCGAGCGAGTAGGTCTGAACACGGGAGAGACTACGAGATCAACAATCCAAAACAAAAGGCTGAGTCGAAAACAAGGAGCAGGCTAGAAGATCAAATACCGAGTAAAGACTAGAAAAGTAACGAGCACTTGGGAGCTCTAAGAGAATCCGCAATAGTGAGCAGGGAAGTGAAGAAAGAGGAGAACTAAAATAGTGACGGGAGTAAATGGTGATTGGCGTATTACTTGCAGCGTGAGCGTTTGTTAAAGAGTGTGCAAGAAGGGACAGAGACGCGAGTGGAATGCTTAACAACGGTGACCACTCTTTGATTAGTTTGGTTAGTTTCCTTATGGTCAAAGAACACTAGCTGATCTCCTTTTGAACTCAGCTCACAGACAATTACAAACTTTATGACACCTTATATTAATTTAGCATATGTGTGAAGAAAGCTGAACAGACTTCTAGAAAAACCAACCTATGTTGGCATTTTCTGCAACTGCATATATTTTCTAAAAACAATCTAATATTATTTTACTAATGCAACTTAGAAAGCATGAGGTAATGTATTATATACTACCTTCATTTAACGGCTCAGTTTTGGAACTCTTGCTGGAGACAGTGCTCAACAAAATTAATTAAAATGAAAAAAAACTAATTCTAGTACCGTATCCTTTGCCAGCCATTAGGTTTACGTTTCTGAAACCATCTGAATGATAAATGTGAGCATTTTTTTTTTCTAAACAAGTCTTCAGTTTTGATTCCTTCTCAAATTTCACCCATGGATATTTCTTTTTAATGAATCTTCACATGATTCCCAATACATAACAACAATAGCTTCCTTCTCTCCCCTCACAGCTGAGGTAATTGATTGCTGAATCCTCACAGGTCTTGCTGCAGATGGTGAGGGCTGATCTGACTCCCTTGAAGTGCGTTGTTAAAGACCCTACGTGGGATGGTATAATCCGGAAGGGTCTGGAGGAGGACAATCAGGGAAGACACGGTGAGGAATGGACGGGATGACTGACAGGGAGGCGGTGAAGACAGTGATCCGGTTTATGGGGGGAGCGCAGGCGAACGAGTCCAAAAGGAAGTCCAATAGAGGAAATCGCAGTCCAAGGTCCAGGTGCCGGGAAATCCATTAGAGACAAAGTGAATTAAAAAACAGGAACAGGGAATTGGGACCAGGAACACGAAGGGTTAAAACCATAACGGGACAAGGCGCTCCGAGCCCTGGACTCAGTAGGTCAGGATGTCTGGGGAAAAGGCCTTGCCCTCGGACTACTCCTGAGCCCGGTGGATTTGTGGGCTTTCAGACGTCCGTATTCCAAAGCTGAGCCCGGAACTACAGAGATGGCGGGCTTAAATAGGGAAACAGGGATAGGAAACAGCTGGGATAAATAAGGCTGGGGAACACAATGAAAAAGGAGGGATGACCATCGTGACAGTTATCTCTATCTCTGCTCACCATATTAGTACTATTACACTCCTCCCCTCCAGTCTTCCTCAGTACACCCTTGAGCAGTGGGTGAATTTACCGTAGATGTGGTTGCTGTAGTCACCGGATTTCTGCACAAAGAGATTCAACAAGTTCGGAATGCTACAGTCAGACTTCTTGTTCCAGATGAATGGGGTCTTATTGCTCTGCCCCTTCTGTGAGGACCTGTTGCAGAAAACCAGAACGATCTCCAGGAGCATAGTCGAGATAACAATACGAGGTCCAAAAGAGCCGTAGGTAAACAAGCCGGTGGAAAAGTACAAAACCCGGAGCGGAGCCGTAAGCCGCGAGGAAGCTGAGAGTCTAAACCAGAGCGATCGGTAAAGAGCCAAAACCGAAACCAGGAGACGTAGTCGGGGAACAAACCAGGGTCAGAGAGCCAATAACCAAGTAGTAAGTCGCAGTGAAAGTGATAGTAGCTCAGAAAAAACCCAATACTGAGCACAGAGGAGAGTGTGAAGTAGCATTAAACAGGCTTGGGGAAATTGGCTAACTGGGAACCGTGCTGGAGTGCAAGGTGGAATGACGAGTCCTCCAGGGGCGTGGCATAACACCTTCTTTCACTTCACTGGATCCCTGTCCCGTCCTGGGCAGACTTTGAAATTCCCACCCTGGTATCCTGACTGTGTGCGCTATACTGTGATGGCTGTCTGAACAGCTCATAATAACAGGGATTTTAACAGTCAAAGAGGTCCAAGAGGCAACAATCAAATACGACCCACAGAGCAAATTCTTAAAAACAGGCTAGAACCAGGCAGGTACAGTAGCTGCCCAACATGACAGTCCAGAATCGAAGCCTTGAAACAGGCCAATGTCCAAAATCAGGTAAGGAATCCAGGGAGAAAACGAAAAACCAGGAGCAGGGAATGGTAATCAGGGAAAGCCCCAAGAAGCATTAAGCTATAACAGAAGCTATAACAAATAATGAGAAACAAGGAATAAGCTAACAAGTCAAGGAATAAGGACGTGGAGTAAATGACATAGGACAGGAAGAAACTGGATGAACAAGAGAAAATCTGGATGTGGAGCTCAATCCAGAGGTAAAACAATACAGTACACTGCAAGGTCTAAGAGGAGAGTTTATAAAGGCCTGAAGAGGGGAGGTGTGGAGGTACACTAGGCAATCAGGGACTGGTTACTGACATCTGCCTGGCCAACGTCGGACCAGCAAGCAGAGTGTGGGGAGCCCTCTGGCAGCGAGGTGGTGGGACTGTAACATACTGTTACTGTCACAGACAGCTCTATACTGTCACAGACTGAAAAACCACAATAATCCAGATATGAACTCAGGAGGGCCGAGTTCCTCGGATATCACTATCACTGTGAGGACAGATTCAAAATCCTTTTAAAATGTGATAAAGTGGAATTGAGTTAAATAAGAGTATAAGATGATTGTAACAGGTAGACCACTCCTTTTGCAACTTTATCCTCCTTTGCTTATATTTTTCTTTTCCTTCCTTTTTTGTTCTTCTTTTAAGACTCTAAGACAGGTTGGAGACCAAAGGACACCTCTCAGACTAGCTGATAGCTCTACAGTGCACAAGAGAAGCAGCTACAGCCTTTTAATCACCAGAAGAACAGCGGAAGAACTGAACCTGTGGTGAGATCACACCTTCAGTGCACAGGATATGTTAAACATGTTAAAGTCTCTGCAGCACAGAGCAAAAGGGGGGGTTTCTTATTCTCTTATGAAGTCGGGTTCAGCTGTTTCAGCTGTATCTCCAGTGCTACATTGGACTCAGTGCAGTCTGCGTTGACAGAAGCTGAACGATGAACATGGAACACATTTACGCCAACATTGAAAACAAGTCACCAAACTTCGACAAGGGCGTGGAAGCAGAACTGCAGAGCAAAGGAAACCTGGGAGGTACTGTCGGCACATGTGTTTTTCTTTCAGTGTGACTTCTGCAGATTGATTCTGTAATGCTCAATCTGGAATGATGTGGAGCAGTGGCATCAGACTGTCTGGTTTGGGGATCTGTTATGTCCCACCCCTGGGAAGGGACTCGGAGTGCGATCCAGGAGTGACAGTGAACCCAAGTGCTAGGCGAGAGGTAGCAGAGTTAGGGAGCCTGCAAACAGCACACAAGGAATTGCACCGAGCTGCGCGTTACTGAGACTGGGGGTGGGGGGGTAAAACTATAAGAGACAGAATACCAACAAAGGGCGAATCCAGGAGTCAAGACAGAGTAACAGTCTAATTTCAGGGCAGTGTAACCAGGGGGTGATCCATGGACCTGATCGAGAACGAAGCAGGGGCTAGAAAAAAAACAAACCAGAGAGGTGAAATACTCGTAACAGGTAGACCACTCCTTGAGCAAAGCTCAAGGTGCCCAGAGTCCACACACGATCACAAGCTCTGAGCTCTGCCAGGTCCAAGGTTTTATTCCCAGGAGTAACTGGAACGGGTTTGGTCAAAAACCAACTCAATGCGCTTAGAGTCTCCTGGTGATTAAATGCCCAACAGTCCAGCAGCCGAGACTAATATGACAGGATGACCATTAAATCACCAATTTCTAATGATCTGGATCAATTACATTGTGATCAGTTAAACAGTTGATGTGTTGCAAAATATAATTTAACACAACACACATTTGTGCACCATTAATCCAATGAACATGGATTCCATGTTCATCGTTCAGCTTCTGTCAACACAGACTGCACTGAGTCCAATGCAAATGTGTACCATTAATACACAATGTAAAGACCTCTGTAGTCGTCAGCAGTGTTGCTACTGTACATGCAGGCAAGCCAATGAACTTCGACGGAACTTTCATACACAGTATCTCTATATCTGTATCTATAATTTAATAAAGTCCTGAGGAAATGGTTGTCCAAGCGATTTTCTGTATGTTTTTATTTTGAAAAAGCTGAATATCTTAAAGAGTTTTCTTTTCAGTTCTGGAATCGGTGGAGAAATCCGAAAGAGACAGCTCTCCGTACAAGATCCTGGCCCTCATCTGCTCGGGTCTGAGCTGTGTGCTCCTGATAACCACTGTCATCTTCAGTTCTTATTGTAAGTACAGTAACTGATGTGTTTGCACAGTATAGCAGAAGTATTATGATATCCCTGTGAAATTAGTCTCTCATGCTGTAACTACCTTTAATTCCTCTACCACCACAATGATCCAGCAGGAAAAAATGTTGATTGATAACGACTTCTGTGTCATTACAATGTGAATAAATTAACTTTAAAATCTCTACATATAATTCAACAAGAGTATAGTGTGTTTAGTCATTGGGAAAGAAAGTTTATTTAAAACCTTGTTCAAAACAAAATAGACTTAGTATTTGGCAAAGAATTGGCTTAGACTATAGTTCTCTTCTGATTTTTATTTAAGATTTCCTCAGGCAAACCACAACTACCCAAGTTCTACCCCAAAACACCTCCCTTGTGTACACAAATTATTCATCTTCAAACTGGAGCTCTTCTGCTTTTAAACAAGGTAAGGATATTCAATCTACTGTAGGTAAGCTATTGTGTTTCAGGGTGCAGTGATGCCTCTCAGGTCTCAGTAGCAGGTGGTCATTAGACCCTGGGTCCTCAGGTCATCAACACAGATACAGATTAACACTGCAGCAAATATGTTAACATATTTGATGGGGCTGTGGTAGTTTTTATTTTAGACCCTCTGGAACAATTGACAAGTAGCTGAAACCTACAACAACTCCCTAATCCCCAGTATCTTCCAGTGTCCCAATATCATGTCTTGAACAATTAAAGAACAGTTAGACCTGAAGATCATTCTGCTGAAACTCAGGTGTGAGAAAGCCTGCACACTCTGCCCAGGAGTAGATTTCACACAGTGGTCAATAAAGCTTTTTCATTCTATCAAAGACAACAGTGAGAAAACAAATAGAAGTCGGTTTGTTGTTATTATGTCATATTCATGTCTTCTCTCCAAAGCTCTTCATGTATAATTTAGTCTTACTCTTGGTTTCACAAATCTGTTTTACAATTGTTTCTGTAATGTATGGTGTCGGCCATTGCAAAGCGCTTTGTGTTTCTTGAAATGCACTCCTAAATAATCTTGTCATTTTATAATTAGAACTGCCGACGATAGTGGAGGACATTCAAAACAGCTGTTTTAACCTACAAGACAATTTAACTGATGTTCATGAAGAAGCTAAACGCTGCAGCGACACCATAAAGAGACACAACCTGGTCCCACTGTGCAACAGCAACTACGTGATTGGTTAGTACAAGTTTGGATTTTCAAAGTTTTCTCTTCTTTATTATTTCCATCCACTGCTGGCTCAAAAGAGACTTTAAAAGCAACTTCAGTTGAAAGATTTAACATGCATTTATTTCACATGATTGCAGGTAATATCAAATTAGGAGGATTAACAAATATAGTAGAGACGGCAAAAAAAACGACATATAATTGAAGAACTTTACATTGAGGGAAGTCTTGGCAGACGATATCTAATAAGGTAAAAGGCTTTCAAAACACTAGCAGGATGAAGGTTTTTTTTTTCCTGCTGTTGCATGCAGGAAACAAGAACAAACTTTAAATACAACGTGAGAAACGAAGTCAGGCAGAAGAGACTGTTTATAAAAAATACTTTTGCATTCACGCCGAAACATCAAAATCTAGAATCTGGGGAAGCAATTCAAATGGCAAAACAGATACAAGTGTGTATAGTCAAAAGTATAAATCCAGCATCAAGGGAGGATATACAGTATTAATTCTGGATCATTTGCTTGTAAGGCCTCATTTAGAAAATTGTAGACAATTTGTTCGGCAGTCTAAAGATATTACTGCTCTGGATTCGGGGATCTGCTCTGCTTGTGAACACCAGGGAGAGACAAGCACACAGTGTCAGTGTTGTCACTAATCTTTTTTCTTTCTCTTCACTTTATTAAGCCTGCTCTGTTCTTACGAAAATATCAAGTAAGTGATTCTATGTTCCGTCTTCTTTGTGTCTATTCATGCTCAGGTGTCAGGTTACACTGAAACCCAAATTAATGAATCAAAACAAATGTTAAACACATTCATTTTGTATTATTAAAATGACTGCAAACCAACATATTCTTGTAGATCCTTACTAAAAAAAATGTATTTGGGCTTTGAAGGTTGTTGAAGTAAACAGTCAAGGTCTGCTGGCCTAAAGATTTAATTTATGAAATATAAAAATAAAGCATCATCTCTGTAAATCAATATAATTTAGGGGTCAAGACTTTGAGTATCTGTCTACTTTATACCTGAACTCCACAACTGTGACTCTCACTTACCCTAAAAGTAACTAAAGAAAGTCCTGTGTTAGATTCTATATTGCATTAGAGGAATCTGTAACATGAGAGAATAATTTAGATTGTACTTTCATATCTGACATTTTACATGTGTTATGCCTTCTTCATAGAAAGAGAAAGAAGAATACCTACAACAGGTAAGAAAAACACATTGATGCTCATTATACAAAGTGTGACATTTTTCATGACAACATCTTTACCATTTTGTCTTAGCACATTTTTAAATTCAAGGGATCATGGCTAAGATAATACACTGTTTTTGATACAAACACCACACAGGAAATAATTGAATTTAGAAATACTCTATTCCTACTGAAACAGTATAAGGGTGTAAATACAGTACCTTGGTGGTATTATGGATTGTATATTGACTGGGACTACCAATAGGGAGGCAAGATAGTTGAAGGCACAAAAAAGTTTGTATTTTTTAAGGAAGTTAAGGAGTTTTAATGTAGAAAGCACAATGTTGACACTTTTTTATGTAAGAGTTGTATTCAGAGCATTCTAACTTGTTGCATTCAAAGATGAGGAGGAGATCTGTCCTTGCAGAACACAAATAAGTGAAACAAGGTGTGCAGGACTTCTGACAAGATTACTGGCACATCCTCGAACTCAATAACTTGTCTTGCGTAGAGACAAATTAATCTTACACAAAATCATAGATGAAGTAGTTCAGGTGGGGAGCTGTGTCAGCGTGCGTAGTCTGCAAAGGAACAAGCTTATTCCATGCTGAAAAGAGAAGAGAGAAAAAAACAACATTTCGGCTCAGGTGTAAGACAGGGCAGACAGCAAAGATTAAATTGCATAGAAGAACACAAGTTGTGAGAGGGGAGAAGGCAGGAGGGGCAGAGAGGCAGAGAGGCAGAGAGGCCACTCAGGAAGTGCGAAGTGCGAAGTGCGAAGTGCGAAGTGCGAAGTGCGAAGTGCGAAGTGCGAAGTGCGAAGTGCGAAGTGCGAAGTGCGAAGTGCGAAG